GTTCTAAAGATCTAATGTACAGCATAGTGACTATAGCTAATAATACTCTACTGTGTACTGTAAATTTGCTAAGATAGTAGATATCAAGGGCTCTTGACACACAGAAAAAGATAATTCAGTGAGGAGATAGATATGTTAATCAGCCTTACTATGGTAATCATTTTATATACGTATATAAAATTACTTAGTGGACATTACTAGTCAAATATATATTTGAATTATATATATATATATATATATATATATATATATATATATATATATATATTTTTCTGTCTTTGGGAACTCCAAGAGGGTAAGGACTCTGCTTATCTTATTCACACCTGTATCTTCAGTACTTGATATACATAGCAGGGTATTAAAAGTTTATTTCTCATTCAAGAAATATCTTCAAAGAAAACAGTAAGCCCAGGTGGCTTTACAGTCAAGTTCTACAAAACATTCAAGGAACAGATCATTTCACACTATATAAACTCTTACAAACAGTAGAGAAAAGAGGGTAAGATCCCTAATTCATTTTGTGAAAATAGTGTATTCATTTCCTAAAACAACATAATAATGCCAAAAACTGGATGGCTTAAAACAACAGATAAAGAAAGATCTTTTTTTTTAAGATAAAGAAAGAACCCTAAAAACAAGAGAAAAGCAGAGAGCTACCTACAAAGGCTTTCCCATAAGACTGTCAGCTGATTTCTCAAAAGAAACTTTGCAGGCAAGAAAGGACTGGCAAGAAGTATTCAAAGTTATGAAAAGCAAGGATCTACATCCAAGATTGCTCTATCCAGCAAAGCTTTCATTTAGAATGGAAGGGCAGATCAAGTGCTTCCCAGATAAGGTCAAGTTAAAGGAGTTCATCATCACCAAGCCCTTATTATATGAAATGTTAAAGGGACTTATCTAAGAAAAAAGATCAAAACTATGAATATTAAAATGACAACAAACTCACAACTATCAACGACTGAATCTAAAAAACAAAAACAAACTAAGCAAACAACTAAAACACGAGCAGAATCATAGATACGGAGATCATTTGGAGGGTTATCAGGTGGGTAGGGGAAGAGGGAGAATGAGAGAAAAGGTACAGAGATTAAGAAGCATAATTGGTAGCTACGAAATAGACAGGGGGAGCCCTGGCTGGTATGGTTGAGTGCTGGCCTGAGAACCAAAGGGTTGCCAGTTTGATTCCCAGTCAGAGCACATCTCCTGGGTTGCAGGCCAGGTCCTCCTTAGGGGATGTGTGAAGGTCAACCACACTTTGATGCTTCTTTCCCTCTCTTTCTCCCTCCCTTATCCTCTGTCTAAAAATAAATAAATAAAATACCAAAATACACAGGGGGAGGTTAAGAATAGTATAGAAAATGGAGAAGCCAAAGAACTTATATACACAACCCATGGACATGAACTAAGAGCGGGGATTGCTGGAGGGAAGGGGCATACTGGGAAGAAGGGGGCAACGGGGGAAAATTGGGACAACTGTAATAGCATAATGAATAAAATATACTTAAAAAAGAAAAGAAAAAATAAAGAGGAAGGAGAGGACTGGTTTTTTCTATACAGAAGATTGAGAACTGGGTGCTTTTTCTAATACAGTTGGTAAGTGGTAGCGCCAAATGCCAAAGGCATGTAGGTCTGAATCTAAAGGGTGGCTATAATGTAAGAAAAATCCAATTCCTTATCTTCCTGAAGACCCATTCTCACCTGGGTCATGGAGCAGCTCTATTTCCCACAGTGTTCTTTGAAATCTGACCCTCAACGAATCCAATTAAGGAGCCAAAGAAACCCTAATTAAAGTGTCACTCATCACTGGCTCATATAAACACTAGCACCACAGCCCCTCTCCCAGTGATTGACAGCCACAAATCTTCAATCAGCATTCAATCACTAGTTACCTTAACACTCAAATTTTGGGAGCCACAGCACTAGCAATCAGTTATTGATCTTCCAAAACTGCCAGTAGCCAAATCATAGAGATTATCAGAGCATGCAGAACAATCCGATAGTTCTTGATTATTGGGTTTGTGAAGGGTCTGAGATGTTACCCTCTTACAAGCTAACAAGTTGTAGAGATGCTGACAGAAGACACAAATCTCCTGGAACAGAGACAAAGGATTTTATTACTCATGACACAGCAAGCAGCAAGGGCATTATGTTGGCATCCCATGTCCTCAAAGTCCCACAGAGGTGACCCAGAGGGTCCATGGTGGAGGCTGCAACTACACTGGGTTTACATGACAGCCAAAAAATGCTGAGCTTGAGGAATTCAGCCTGCTCTTTATCCCAGAGGTAAACATTACCTCACCCTTCAAGGTGGCTCACTATACACACAACCCTGAGAAATGGCCAAAGTAATAAGTGGTCAAGGCTCTGTATTCTTAGCTGGAAAGTAGTCTAAGGCTGGGCTACTATACTGCAACCCACACAAAAGAGTTTAGACTGACTTGCAGATATTTGGTGTCATTGTCAATAATAACAAGGGGGCAATACCTGGGTCCAAAAGCAAACTGTATCCCCAGTGGACAGATATTGTGTTCCCTAGTCTTTCCCTCATATACAAATATATATAACTTGCCCTGAGTGGTGTTGCTCACTTGGTTGGGCATTGTCCCACAAAGTGAAAGGTCACAAGTTTGATCCCCAGTCAGGGCACATACCTAGGTTGCAGTCCCAGTCCCCAGTTGAGGCATGTATGAGAGGCAACTGATCTGTGTTTCTCTCTTGCATCAGTGTTTCCCTTCCTCTTTTTCTCCCTCCCTCCCCCTTTCTCTAAAATAAAATCATCAATAAATAATCAATAAAATCTTTTTAAAATTCTACATCAATAAAATCTTTTTAAAAAACAAACAAAAAATAAATATATAACCCAAAGGGCACAATTCATTTCAGTTCAGAATTTGTTGTTCAACTTGACTGGGATCACCATTGCATTGGTTTGGTTAAGTCCCATGGGTGCTCTCTTCAAGGGCCTGTAGCCAAATAGCTAAACATGGCATAATTTGTGGCCACTCAGGTGTGAGGAGAAGCAGATAAATTTGTACCAGTCAGATTTAAATAAGGTCGTGCTGGCCCATGTGTTTGTACAGGCCTGAGGGAGGTAAGTGTTCAGGAGCTTACATTGATGGCATTAGGCAGGACAGAATAGTTTAGGACTGGCCATGTTCATGTGAGTGTTTCTGTTTGTCATTTCAAGGAAGCGATGACCAGCTGGAAGCAGGTCAGATTACCAGCTGCACTTGCTGCTTGATTCAGGGAAACCACATGATTGTTTTATCAGGCTGTAGTGCTCAATCTAAGGGAAAAGGAGCATTAACCATCTGCCCACCTTGCACCTCTCAGGGTCTAAGGTGTTCCTTCCCCAAGTACACTCCTTGCACTGCCATGAAATTGGTATGCTCTGTCCCAGTGCCTATACCTTCTTTTTAATCCAATAATCCCCCTACTTGCACCCAGACCCTTCATCCAGAAGGGTCAGGCATTTTTATAAAATTTACAGAATTTTTATGCCTTCTATCTTGGTCAGTGTGGGCCACTGGAGGGAAACTCAGTGAGCAATATACTCAATCAAGTGGTAATTGTGTTTATGATCTAGGACCATGTCCATCCAACAAGAGAATCTAGGTGACTGAACTATACTTAAGTTCAAATCTCCTAGGCCCCATTTGGGCTGATCTGCCACCTGGAGAGTTAGCAACTAGGCTGGCCTGGGATTGCTGTGAGGGAATGAAAGACACATCATGTCCAGGAATGGCAGAGTAGAATCCTGAATTTTCAAAATAGTCTCTATAATCCACCTCTTTTGTCCTGATCATTACCCAGGAGATATCCCCTTTCTGGGGACAGCCACATTCAGTGATCAAACTGCCTTACTAAGGTATGTGGATCAGGAGGAAGTGAGAGAAGTAGAGTCTGAAATGCTTTTTAGTTCACTTTTGAGGGAGCTGTTCAATGTTCAACAATATTAGATATCTGGTGATGGTAGGGAGCATGGAATGTCTATCAAATACTTTGACTACTGGTCCATTGTTGGGTGCACCACTGTCAGAATGCAAATGGTCTGCAGAATGGTCTGCATCAGAAACATAGTTTTTTACATTGTCCAGTCTCTGATAGTACATTGCTATGTCCAGGAGGCAAAGGCAGTCAGCTCCTTAATTCCAGATGGTCTCATCAGAGAGCAGGACCTTACTATGGGTGTTTACATGAGTCACCTAAACTGACCTCAACTACTAACCATACTTACTGATCCCCACAGGTCCCCATCATTGTTCCCCCAAACCCCATTGCTCTCACCAGAAACCCTCTCTCAAAGTTTCTCAGCCCCAAAACCTCAAATAAAGTTCCATTTATTTATTTATTTATTTATTTATTTATTTATTTATTTATTTATTTATTTACAAACTGCTGTTAAGCTGCTTCTGAGAACCGCTTCTATTTCTGGTGCCCCCAACCCCAAGATCACCTTTTCTAAAGGCTGCTCTTTATTCAGGTGTGCAGTAAGGTCACCATTTCTGCCCAGCATGGGAAAGCTACATTTCTCCAAAGCTGTGATTTTCAAATTTTTAAAGTGTCATAAGCCTTTTTAAAAACAGAGAAGGGGCGACTACTCGTGAAATGTGGTTTTCCCTGTTAAGCAAAACAAAGGTCAAAGACAAGACCCCTCATTTTCTGCAACCAGTTGCCCCGCCCCCAAGCTCAAATGAACATGCTTATTGGGTGGCAAACTTGTCAGTCACAGCAAGACCCTAACCTCGACTGCCAAAAGACGAGAGCTACTTAATAACCCTAGTGGCTCAGACTTTTCACACTGATTCAAAAGGCTATCAGTCAAGTCCCCACTCCCACCCCGTATCCTGGGAGGTGGGCGGGTTCAGGCCTGGTACTCACTGACAGGCTGACTTGTCCATCAGCCCTTGTCAATCAGTCCTCCACTCTAGCTCTGCACAGCCAGGGAGGGCCTCAGGAGGAGCAAGAATTCTTGATTGGCTGCCTTTCCGCTGGAGAGCTCATCCTCTAAAGGTGTCAGAGCTGCTCTGATGAACAGCTGATTGATTTACTCTAGGCCCAAAGATCTGGCACAACTGGCTGTGCTTCATCATGGACATCTAAGGGCACACAGACACATGGGCCTGTAAAGAAGCTCTGAGCCCATCCCCTCTGCTCTCTATTGATCCTTTTAAGGTGTCGGTTCCAGGCCCAATCTCGCTCAGGAAGAAAGGAAAGGAAGCCGGGAGCAATGTTGATTTCCCTGACTGCAAGTGAGCAGCGGAAAAGTGGTCTGTGCATTAGGGAAAACAAAAATCTGGGGGCGGGTGCAAAACATTTTCAAGAATAAGTCAAAACGCGGCTACTTTCTCATCTCGCCTTTAGGTATTGCCTTTCATTCAAACAGCCCAAGTTGAATCTCAGTGTGCGAAATTTTACCCACGTGTACACATGTGCATCACTTTTTTAAAATATATTTAAAATTTTCAGGAAAAATAAAATAAAAATTTTAAGAGAAAAACACATGTATTTAAATTTCCTGTCTTTGCGTTTTCTGTAAGATTCTGTAATATGGTAATGGTGGTTGGTGTGTAGTTCACTTACAGCTCTAGTTTAAAAGCTAAAAAATAAGTATAGTATAAATAACCATAACTAATAATCTGCTATGTATGTATACTGTACATCAATAACCTAAATTCACCCTTACCCGAGTGGCTGAGTGGGTTGAGCATCATGCAGCAAAGCGAAAGGTCGCCAGTTGCATTCCAAGTCACATACCCGGGCTGCAGGCCAGGTCTCCCATTGGGGGCCAACAAGAGGCAACTGATCAATGTTGCTCTCCCTCTTTTTCTCCTTCCTTTCCCTTCTCTCTAAAAATAAATAAATAAAATATTTTTAAAATAACCTAAATTATGAGGGGAAGGAGATGTAAAAGTGTAGAGTTTAGGAATGCTATTGAAGTTAAATTGTTACCAACTTATAATAAGATGTTATAATTTTAAGATACTTTAAGCTTCATGGTAACCACCATGGAAAAACCTGTAGTAATTACATGAAAGAGCATGATAAAGAAGCCAAAGCATACTGACACCAAAAGAGGTCACAACACACACACACACACACACACACACACACACACACAAAGACAGCAGAAGAAACAAAGAACAACGGATCTACAAGCCAGCCAGAAAGCAATGAACAAGATAACAAGAGTAAGTGCTTATCTATCAATAATTTCCTTAAACATAACAGGTTAAATTATGCAAGCAAAAGACACAGAATGGCTAAATAGATTTAAAAACAAAACAAAACAAAACAAGACCCAACAATATGCTGCCTACAAGAGACTCACTTTAGCCTTAAAGACACATACAAGGTGGGATAAGAGTTGGTTTATGTATGAAAAATAATACAATAATTAATAGCAATGCAAGAATAAACTCTGTGTTTCACATACTCACAACTGTAAACCTACGTTTGTCCCACCCTGTATGCACTGAGGGTGAAGGAATGGAAAAAGTATTTCAATCAAATGGTAGGGGGAGAAAGCAGGTGCAGCTATGTTTATGTCAGGCAAAATAAACTTTAAACTAAAAATGATAAATTCTATTAATCAAAAATCTTTTTCAGGATCAAATCTGAAACTGACCTATCTGAGCTTGTTTTTTTCAAAATGAAAGCTTTTCCCAAAGAGGTCACTTTGCAGGGTGAGTGGAATTTTCTGGAAAGGGAAAAAGTGGATTGTAGGTGAGAAAAATGGTGGTCCAGAAGTCAATATGACTTAGATAGAATCTCTGTAGCAGCAGGGGCTGGATAGTGTATGCAGAGAGTATTTTTGGTTTAGATACAATCTGTTTGAATCTACACAGACACATACACGCACACATGTGCATGCCTCATCTTAATGGGTTTAGGGTTTCTGAAGATTTCTTTCCTCCTCCCCTTCCTCCCTCCTTCTCTCCTTCACTCTCTCTCTCTTCCTCCCTCATTAAAATAACAGCCCAGTTTATTTTTGTTTAATTCCTGGTAGCATGACCATAACTAAAAGGACAATGGACCAATGCAGTTTGTGTGTGCTATGGAGGGGGAAAAATCAACAATAATAAGTGTAGAGAATGAATAATAAGGCAGGGTTGGAATTTCAAATAAGGGAGTCCTCTTTGAGAAGCTGATATTTAGCAAAAACTTGAAGGAGGTGAGGAAGTTGGAAAGAGAATAGGAAGACAAGGCTACAGCGTTTCAAAGTCTCTAGAGGTGCATGTCTGACACCTTGTGCCAATGACTGCTCTTTTCCTAAACTTCAGATGAGACCCTGAATCCTCATTCTGATCCTGGCAAAGTTCCCCAGAGCCTTTCTACCTTTGATACAACTGACTTCCAGAGTCCTGCAGCTTTTCTGACAACTACTACTTAAGGTCTTAACTGGCCTAAGTAGTTTTTCAAACCTTGTCTTCAGAAACCACCCCTTTCAATACCAGATCCCAAACCTCTCAGTAGTGACTGGCAGGGTTCCAAAACTACCTTCTACTCCAAATCCACAATCTGAATATCCCCCAAACCATGATGACCATAATTTCATTTTTAGGCCACCTATTTAAAAACTTCAATGGTCCCTACTTTAATATTAATGAGGAATCATTCTACCAATATTTATAAACACCTAGTCTGTATCAGGAAATGTTATAAGTACTTTCAGATTAATCTTCTCAGTATCCTCAGGAGGTAAAGTTGTTAGCCCCAAGTGAAAGAGGAGGAAAATGGGAATGTAAGGTCACACATTCGGTATGGAGGGGACTGTGATTTGAACTCAGGCATTCTGGCTCTAGAATCTGTGCCCTCTATCAATCACAGCTCTTGTTTCAAGTTCTCTCTTCATTTAGATATTTCTTCTAGCTCTTTCCCAAATGTCATTTTACTGAGGACTTTTTTCTGGGCACTCTAGCTAAAATTTACACACACACACACACACACACACACACACACGTGTGCTATACCCTTTCCTATTTCATTTTTCTTCTTAACATTTATCACCATATTCTACATTTTACTTATTTATCTATAAATTATCATTACCCAAAATTGCTATTCTTCACATTTATTATATGTCTCCCACAAAAGAAGTCAGCTCCAAGAGGGGCAGGGATTTTTGCCTGTTTTATTCATTGCTTTATCCCCCGTTTCACGATAGGCACTTGGTAAATATTTGTTGGATGAACAAATGAATAAATGAGCAAATGAGTGAATGAACCTTTTTTGATGATGGCTGGTTCCAACCTGCCTTGCCTGGATCCTGGTTGGCCCTGGATTTGCCTCTCTGACTCATATGCAATTGACCTCTGATGTATTGGCTCTGCTAATGAATATTAACATTTACAATTGTAATTATTCCAACTGAGATGAATTTCTATTGAGAAAGTTTGTCCTGGAGTAACTTCTGAGCCAATTTAATTTCTTCTTCAATGCTATACAGTGGTGCAGTTCACCCAAAGCCAATTTTGGCCATTTTCATTTTTCTGAAATTGTTTTCAGTGGGACAAATCATATTCAGGTTAATTTTTACAGTGATGCTTTGATCCATGCATCAGTTTCCTTGTCTGTGTCATATTTTAGCAATAATAACTTTGCCCCAGATATCTCCTTGGCCTCAGGCTGCTCCCTGAAGAGCTCAGGCACATTTTAAAAATTGATTCCAGAGAGAGATAGAGGAAGGGAGAGGAAGAGAGGGAGAAAGAGATAAACATTGATTGGTTGCCTCTCATATGTGCCCCAACTGGGGACTGAATGCACAGCCTAGGTATGTACCCTGATGGGGAATCAAACCTGCGATCTTTTGGTGAATGGGACGATGTTCCAACCAACTGAGCCGCAGTGGCCAGGCTCAGGCACATTCTTCCATCAGGGACTATACAGGTTGTTCCCTCTCCTAGAAATGCTCTTCCATCTGTACAGCTAATCTCACCTTTTTCACATTTTTTCCTTAAAAAATCACTTTTCAACAAGGCCTAAACTGACTCCTTGTTTAAATACAAGCTTCTCCTACCCTGCACTTCTGATCCCCCTTACTTAAATTAAAAAAATTAAATTAAAATTTTAATTTAATACAAATAATGTGATTTGTTGCCTTATTTATCATGTATTTATCATCTGCTAGAATATAAGCGCCATGAGGATGGGAAGTTTTTAATCTTTTTTTACCTGCTGTATCCCCACTGCCTGTAAAAGTGCCTGACTTCAGAAGGCACTCGATAAATATTTGCTGAGTAAATAGCTTTCCTGTCATTCTGAGCTTTATTTGTGGCTAGTTTTCACCAAGTCTAATTTTTCAGCATCAAAACTGTAGGTTCATGTTTTGTTGAGAACATAGGGTCTTTCCATCAGTTCTCCCTCAACATATTTCAAAGTTTACAGTTTTAGCCTCTGTCAGTTTATTCCGTGGTGTGTATGCCTACCAGCAGTAGTTGTTGTGAAGCTAGTAAGATAGCTTGTTTTTATGTCCTTGGTAATCTATAAGAAAAACTGTCAGTAATTCCCTTTAGACAGTCTAGAATTGTCTGAGATGGGCTTTGCTAAGCTAGGTTTTTAGTGAGCTTCTGGTCAACTTGGTGTAGTATGTAAAATCTAAACTCCCCCTAAGCACGGCCCATGGGGCCTTAGGGTTATGACCTATAACCACCTCTGTAAACTCATCCCTGGCCACTCTTATCCTGGAAGATTCCAGTAATTCCAGTAAGCACAATATTCCAGCCACACTGGCATTCTGGTGGAACTTATGTCATCTCTTTTCTGAACTTGTGTACTCTGTCTTACCCACCACCTTAAGGTAAACTCCGAGAACAGAAAATATCTTAGTTCAGGTCCCTCCAGAAGCTGACCCTCAATGATTGAAGTCAAGTAGCTTATTTGAGATGTGACCCAGGAAACACCTGCCGATAGTGTGGAAGTGAGACAATGAAGAACATTAAGTGAATTAGCACTGTGGGCAATTGGAGCATATTCCCACTGGGGGCCAGTGGAGAACACCCACCATGGAGACATCCCATATAGGGGATAAGGGGACGAGGGTACATACCTACTAACTCTCATCAGTCATTTATTGAGGGTGGCTGCCAGGGGATGTTCATTTTGTAGACTTCCCAGCCTGTCAAGCCTGTAGGCAGCATGAGAGGAAGCCTTCCAGTGAAGAGATGCAGACACTGGAAGTTGGCAGTTGGCCAGTGGCACACTGGAGCAGTAAGGGCACCGGGGCATGGACAGGGAATTGACAGTGTCTGTTACAGGGGCTGTCTTGTTCACTGGGCCTTGCACACAATAAATGCTCTATTAGATGGAAGGATGAAGGTTATGTTATGCTGCTGGAGCAAAGCTGGGTCTAAAATATCAAGGTTCAAATATCCTTGTGGTCAAACAGTAGGGTGAAAGCATTGTTTATGCTCTCTGACCACTCACACCATCCACCGTATTCACCCTGGGAAATTCCTGAGGACAGAGATCCTGGCATCTGTCAGTACCTGGCACATTGTTGGGGCTTGGTACATAGGACAAACTCAACTCCCACTGCTTCATCCCAATGTGGTCCTTAAAAGGTCAGCTGTTCACCAAAATGGCTACCATGAAAACAATGGGGAATGCTGACTGGCATTCATGATAGAGAATGATGGCGAGAATGTACCATTTACAAGGGAAACTGTAGCTGGAAAACTGGCATGCTTTACTAAGGCTGATCACCTGTCTATCCCATGACTTTGCAATTCCATCCCTAGATATATGCCCGAGAGGAATGAATGCATATGTTCATCAAAAGATGTGTATAAGAATATTCACGGAATTTTTTTTTTTTACTCAGTCTTTTTACTACAGTACATGGGTTGGGTCTTACAAAATCAGGTAGATGAGGGCAACCACTGCCTTGATTAGAATCAGAGCCCATCTTGATGGCCACGAATGTGCCAAAGGTGCTGCCACTCTGCATCATGGTTTTCCTGATGCTGCCCATCAACTCTCGATCATGCATTCCAATCCTGAGACAGGAAAAGGTGCCAGCCACCATGCCCATGGTGTAACCCATTACAAAGTCCATCTTTGTGTGGTTGAAGCAGCTTGGCTGGGACTTTCCATTGGGACCTATGGCCACTGGCATCTCGCTCACAGCCTCAGTCACTCCAAGAATTATTAATAGCCCCAGAGAGAAAAATACCCAAATACCCACTGACACAAGGATAGATGGTGTGTGGTCTATTTACACAATGGGAAGAGAACACAGCAGTGAAGATGGGCAAACTACTGATAATATAATAATGGGGACCTGTGTCACAAACATCCTGTTGCATAAAAGTCAGATGCAGAAATGTATCAATGCACTTAAATGGTGTATTAAACTAGACAAAACTAAACTACATTGTTACAAACTTTCTGGAGACAGAGGCCACCTGGAAGAACACAGAAGTGCCAGACATGTGAGTGAAGAAGCCACCTTGAATGTCCAGCTTAGTTGAACTTTCAAATGAATCCAGCACTAGCTACCATTTGGCCCTAAGAAGAACCACCTAACTGAGCCTAGTCAATGACAGGACCATGAAAGATAACACTAAATTGTTGTTTAAAGCTACTAAGTTTTAGGATGTTTATTAAACAGCAACAGATAACCAGAACACCCAGAAAAGGTGGCAGTGGCCCTTTTAAGGCCTGACACCCCCGCTCCCAGATTCCCCTCACAACAAAATTAAGACCAGCCAGTCAGAATTTCAGTCCCTTTAATAAGGTGCTCTGCGAGGAGGGCAGAATGGCAGGCAGGGAGTAAAGAAGGTGGTGCTTCTTGAACCTCACTGGGCATCCAGTCAGTCCTCATCTGGCAGCTGGATCTTGCTGGGGTCAAAACAGTTGGATTCCATGATAGGAAGGCCATTGGCCTCTCGATATTTCACAAGCCTTTCAGCTTCCCGGCGGGCCCATTCATGCATCCTGGAGACAGCAGCATAGGGGGAAGACATGAGGAAACCTCACTGGATATCAACCCCTACCTTAGCTCCCCATTCCTTAATGGTGTGGGACAGGATTCCTGGTTTTGACCTCCATCCCTACCTCTGCCCCCACCCATCCCCTTCTCTCAGACACCCTATGCACCTGTAGTCAGGCAGATAAGCCACAAAGGTGCTGCCAAAGACCAAGACGATAGAGAAGCCAAAGAAGAAGACAACCCGCATGTTCCAGACATCCATAACAGGGTCCTTGTCGTAGCCGTGGGAGTCTGGGTTCTATGGAATAAGAAGAAGAGGTCAATGAGGGCTTCCTACCACTCCACAAAGCCTTATGCTGGCCCTGCATGAGATGGTCTCCAATTTCACCTGGGACCAATCTTCCCTCCCTTCCTAAACTCCTCTCTTTCTGTTCTTAGGACTTGTCAAGCTGCTTCCCATCACGGGGTCTTTGCACTTGCTGTTCCCTCTGCCTGGAAAGCCTTTTCCCCAGATCTCATCATGACTGTATCTGCTTCCTCATTCAAAGTTTTGGCTTCATCATCACTTCTTATAGGAGGCATTCCCTAGTCACCTCAGCTATTAAATTGAACTATAGGAAATTGCCATTTTCATACGTCTAAATGGTTGAATATCAGCCATTTCCTATGGCTTAGCCCAATAAAATTACTCCCTATCTCCAAGACACTCTCAATCCACTTATCCTGCTTAACATTCTTTCTAGCATTTATTAGTTTACCAAAGTAGTATCCCCAGATCCTCTATCACTTTATCTTATATTATCAATTACTTCTCTAAATTATCATTTTCAAATATTTCACATATTTATTTTCTGTGTTTCCCACTAACATATAAGCTCTACAAGAGCAAGGGCTTTGTCTGATTTCCACACTACTGAACCCCCAGGGCCCTGAACTGTGACTGGCATACAGTAGGCTCTCAATACATATTTTACAAAATGAATGAATGAATGAACAAATGAATGAGGTTAATATTGATAAGGTATCAATCTCTTATGTGCTGGGTCTTTTCACATACACAAACTTCACAATATCCCAGTGAGGTGGAAAGTGGCAATGATAATTAACACCTTCTAATGCTGAGTACTTATTAAGTGCTGGGTGTTGTTCTGAGTATTTGACTTATTTAATTACACGAGGCAGTGTAGTGTTTTATTTTTTCAAAGATGTCCTAATACTTTCCCTATTTTACAAAGAAACTGAGGCACCAAGGGGTTAAGTTAATTGACCAAGGTCACACAGGCAAGTAACTGTCAGTGCCTGTATTCCAACCCAGGCATTCTGATTTCAGAGCCTCTGCTAAGTTCAAATACTGTTCTGTCGCACATTCAGTTATGCGAACTTGGGCAAGCCACTTGACATCTGTGCTTCAGTTTACTCATTTATAAAATGAGTATACTAATAGTACGTACGGTGTAGACTTGTTTTGAGGATAGGATAAGTTAACGTACGTAAAAACTGTTTAGAACACTGGCACCAATCAATATCGGTGTTTAGTATTATTGTTATATTGCTACTAGTGTTTTGAGCACTACCCAACTGGTACCCGTCTACAAAATAAAGCCAGTGTCGCCTCTGGCTCTGAACCAAAGATAACGAGGGAGAAAGGAGGAAAGTAAGCTAGGCAAAATACCCAAGTCTTTAACGACTTCACGAGCTGCGCAATCCTCAACCGCCTAAGAAAGTCCTTAACGGCGCCCCGTCCGCCGGCCCCCGACTGACCCTACCGGCGTCCCGTTTCCCCTCTGTCTCACCTTCTCATACAAGTTTTCATCCTCCGGATCTGGGTCCTCCTGCCAGTGCACAGTCGGTTCCGGTGCCCGCTTTCCCACCACAGTGGACGGGGCTATCACAGCCCTGGCAGAGCTGGATTCCCAGCGAACCCGGACAGCTAAGTGCCCTCGCGTCGCCGCTGCTGCCAAAAGGCGGCGAGAGCTCAAACCTAACAGCCGGGCCGCCATGACAGATCGTTCTGCAAGCTCTCAGGGACGGGGACGGAAGTGCGGCTCTGCGCAGCTGCAGTTGGCCCGAACGGGATAATTGTCACTCTGCTCCCACCGCACTAAATAAGTCTCGGGTCCGTCTAGATTTTGTTTTCAAGTGAGTTAAGGCGCTGAGCAGCCCTCTTTCCTCCCTCTGTCACAGCCGCATTGGAGCAACAATCTCCCGATCCTCTAGGTCAAGCTATGGGAGTTCCGCCTGAGCGATGTGCTCCTTTACTTGCTGAGAAGAAAACAGTGACATTTAGGGGAGGGGGGTCAGTTCCCAGCCAATCACACAAAATTTCCCTTGCCCTCTGGGGGAAGGGGCAGAGCTTCCGTTTGTCTTTCATAGTTGAAGGAAGCCAAGCTTAAAAAGTGGGCCTCGCCGGATTGGCTAATAGCTACTCCTTTCCTCGACGCTGGGCGGGGGAGCTCACACGGGGCACGGGGCGTGGGGAGGTGGCAGCCGCTTGCCAATCAGAGCGGCCCAGGGCTGGCCCTTGGCGGATGGCGGCCAATAGACGCGGCCAGCCAGAGCGCGCTCCCTCAGTAGGTGGATGGTAGTGGAAGCGCCGGTTCTCTGCTCCTGGTCGCCATTTTGTGCTGGTGATTGCGGCCGGTGGGAAGTAGGCAGCAGTGGGTTTCCCGGGGAGGGCAGCGCGCTTGGCGCTTCTTCCCTCCCCCTCCCTCCGCCTTTCTGCCTCCACCCTTGAACTTGATTGTTGCGTGGACCGGCACCGGCTGAGCTGGGAGAGTTGGCAGAGGTGGCGGAGGGCTGATGTGATGTCGGGAAGCCCTCCCTTGACAGCCCGAGCCGAGAAGGTGAGCGTCGACGCTGGTCGTGGGGGCGGAGGTAAGGGGCCAGAGGCTGGGGGTGCGTAGACTAGGTTAGAGGGAGGACTGCGGACCACAACCGAGGGATGCGTGCACAGTCTGAGCCTGGGAGGGGTTGTCTTAAATTTTTTTTACCCCTTTGAGAGCAGAGGCGCGTGCGCGATCGGGACGCAGGGATGGGTGCACGCGGGTTGGGGGAAGGGAGAGACAGATGGGAGTGGGCTACTTTGCTGTATGTGACACCGAACTTATCTGTGGGGAGGCGGATGCTTGAGACTTTGATTTTTTTTTATCTACAGGGGAGAGGTGTGCTGTCTTTGGTACTTATCTGTCTGTGGGATAGTGTTCTGTGGCTCAGGTCCTTGGGAGTGGAGGGAGAGAGAATCTCTGTGTGATCCTAGTCTTTATCCTTGGAGTGTGTGTTTCTAACTCGGGTCACTATTCTGGGAGAGGTCCTTATCCATGGGGAATCTTCTTGTGACTGGCCCTAACCTGCTTACTGAATAAGGAAGGAATGCAAGGAATGTGTGTGTGACTTATTGACCCTTCTTGAGGGACGATCTGTGACTGTGACGTTCATCCATTGAAAGGAGGCCTAAGTGTGGGGTTATGGCCCATATTTGTTCTGGGTTCCTGTCTGTGATTTTGGCCCATAGTTGTTCAGGGTGCATGTCTGTGACTAACCCCTATCTGTTGTGTATGCCAGAGTCTACTGAGGGTTTTGTATGAACTCTTATCCGCTGGGGACCCTGGTTGTGATTCTAACTCTTACCCATCTGGGAGCAGGTAATTCTGGTTCCCTGGTGGCTTGAGGAGGAAGAGAAAATTGGTGTGTTTGCCACCACATGGAGGAAAGGTGTGGTGACAACCTGGTGTTAGACAGGTGCTGTTACCATCTGGCTTTGCCTAAATCCTGTTCAAAGGGTGGGGCCAGAAGATTCTGGGATACTACCTGGTGACTCCTGGCCAGGACACATGGCTCTCATGACTTCCTTAGATCTCACAGTAGCCCTGAAGGTTGGGTACAATGACTGCCCTTCTAAGCCAGTAGAATTGCACAGTGGTTTGGAACAGCCTCTGAAAGGACTCCTTTTGCCTCTGAATAACTTGGGCCTAGAGCCCTGGGGAGAGAGCTGCCTTGAGACCTGGCTGGGCATGAGACAGGACTCAGGACTGAGCCAGTTGCCCTGTGAGGGCCAAAGCGGTTTTGGCCAGGAGCCCAGGGAGGCGGCAGCTGTCTCATTGCCAAGTTAGCCCCTCATGCCCTAAGCTTTTCATGGTCTCCTGCTGTCTTGTACAGGACAGCAAATACCTTGTTGGGAGGATGAA